CGAAACCGCCGCAGGCCAAGACCACAGAGGCGGGGCTTAGCTGTGACGTCATAACGTATCACAGACTGACTGGTGATAGCCTCTACACACCGGGTGAAAATCTTGCTCGAAATTTAACATTACGAGTCAATGAGAAGTGCCTGAAATATTGAAATTGCGATGAAATATCTAAATTGTATAAGTTTCGGCAGGTCTTGAAACGGCCATGTCCTGAGCTTGGTTGAAATTCTTCCACGCATTTAAAAATAATCGCGAAAGATTAGGATCTCAAGGGGTCTGGCGTTAACAGTAGTATGTGTCAGTTAGCACTGAATTACAATTTGGTTTAACATTAAAAGAAATAAAGCGGGATGCATTGATCACTTCAATAGGTAGTTTATCTTACTTGACCATTATAGCTGTTCCTGTTGTATGTACTAGGGTAAAGTGCGATAAACTATATCTATGTACTGTCTCGCCATACACCGACGTATTAGCATCGGGCTTCGCCCCTCAGACGGCGAGACTACCGCCAGAGTAAGAGCAGCCAGCAGAAAAGCCCCCGCTCGGTGCGAGTCTGGACGTGGATCGACGGCGAGGGACGCGGCTCGCTACTGCGTACCAGACGCGCCGGTGCGTCTGGTCCCGCTGCCTACCGCGCCCTGCTCGAGAGTCAGTTTCTACCTGCCTACGACGAGCTGCGGCCCGACCGGTCCCGGATTCTGCTACACTTGCGTAATTGGCCGAGGACCCTGACGCTGCGAGGCTGGCTGGAAACTCAGCCACGGCTGCAGCTGCTTAGGTGGTTTCCACGTCTGACTGACCTCAATCCGATCGGTGAGCGCTGACGGTGCCTGGGTGTCTTTCAGGAATGCATCTTGGGGTTTCGGGTGTCAAAGTGTTACCTTTGTGATTTGATGATTCATGGTGCATGGCCTGCCATTATGTGTGTGCGCTACTTCGTTGGCAGATCATGTATGGAAGGGAGTGACTGCGGAGTTGAAATGTGCACTGGACGGCGTCAAAGGTAACGTCACCGCTGAGCGGATCTGGGAGATGCTGCAGGCAGCCTGGGAGCACGTCACTCCAGAGCTGTGTGCCCGCCACGTGGACCGCGCCGCGGAGGCCATGCGCGCCCAGCCGCGCACAGCAGGGCCCGTGTGCACAGCTGAAAGTGCTGGGAAGTCGGCGCAGAGTATATCACAAGTGCCGTGATTCTGTGCATCAAGGGAGTCAGTGAGTATTGAATGGTGTAGTGAGAAGTGTTAAGTAATTGCCGCTTAACCCGCGCCGGGAGAGAGAAGAGAGAGAGAAGAGAGAGAGAGAGAGAGAGAGAGAGAGAGAGAGAGAGAGAGAGAGAGGGCGAGAGAGGGCGAGAGGGAGCGAGAGCATTTTATTCACACTGCAACAACATAAAGTTCACCAGAGGTCACCAAAGGTAAAATGTTGGCTATTCCAACATTTTGGAAACTGCCAACGGCTAATTCGGGAAGCCTCGCCCGCGGTTTTTGAGATATCTGTAAAAAACCGCAGGGGGCTGTTCAAACGCCCCCCGCCCGGCGGCGAGTTACCTAAGTGTGGAACTACCCAGCGCCGAGCCGGCCGGATGACGTCACACTACGGCCAGTGCCGGCGCGGCGGCAGACTGGCCGAGATTGGCATGGTCTTAACTTGGCGAAGAGGCATCGGACGCCAAACTTCTGCTGCAGCTATTAATCACATTTCATGCGTTTCTTCCATGTGTATGAGCTATCAAGTCCTTCGAATACCTAATGTGTAGGTGAGCGTACCTGCATTTAGCAGTGTGTGCTATGTTATGTGGATGGGCACATCCGACAGTCGACACACTGCGCAATGGATTCCGATATTGCTTGGCTGATTCTGGCTTTGTGTCTTCGAACGAACCATTGAGAGGGAGGACGTCATTTTTAAAGGTTGTTAGGTGCACTCAAACGTTTTAAGATAAGCAACTGCTGATTGAATTTCTGGCGAGGGTTGGTGGAACGCTCTGTTTACAAATGAGTATCTACCTACCTAGTACCTACCTGCAGTGGCAAATAACTGGGTCACGGTCAGTTAGGCATGATTCACGAAGTCCCTTATCTTTTATTAGACTTATTAAGCCTAATGTGCAACATTTGCGTCTTTTCGCGTTGTGTCGGGTAGCAAATGAGAAAATCTGCTTCTTCTCCACAGCCCTCAATTCAAGAAACCGTCCTTTTCCTTATTGCATCATTCCAGAACATAATTTTCAAACATGGGTATCTTCCCCACAAAAAAACTGAAGCAGTTTCCTTCGGCTCCAATGCGCCGCTCGCCCAGGGAGACGGAAGTGTTATATTCTCGGCGGTCCAGTCTGCATTCTGCAGCACACTCAAACTTGGCGGACCCCCAGCGCACGACTGAACGATTCGTATTGTTGTGAGTGACTGTGACAATTCACTGGTGGTTTCGGAATAATTAACAGGCGGCGCAGCCCAGTGCCTCTTACAATGAATTACAGTGGCGAATGCACTATTGCAGAGTCTGCAGAGAAGAAATGGATTGAGCAGATGCCCAACCTCGCTGTATTGTCAACTAAACATTAGGTACGCTTTACATTTTAATCAAGCAATCATGTAAACAAACGACTTGCGAGTTGCGACCCTTCCGCCTTACATAACTCGGCAGAATGCCCCTGAATCGGCTAAACTACACTGCATCTCTTCAAACCTTAAGTATTTTACAATTTACCACTCAGCTATGCAACAGGCTTGTAATTCACTGCTCAAGTCTCAACCCCTTTTTCCCTATCATCTTTTTGGCACCGTCGATCGCCATCTGCGCTGCCCATTGTCGAGCAAATAATCAGGCCGTCTCCAGTTCTCTGGCAGGGGCTTCCAAACTCAAGCGAACTCGCCGAAGTTTCGCCATTCAATGCGCAGGATCTGTACAATTGAGTTTGAGAGCCTCTGGGTTGGTTCGGCGCGCCTGCGCCGCGCCGTTGGTCCGGCCAAGTACGCGAGTGACGTTATGCTATAAGCGTCATCCCCCGACCAAAGTCACCAATCAGAGCCCTAGAATCGACTTATAGTTCCACACTTGGGTAACTCGCCGCCCGGCGCGGGCTAAAAGTAGAACAGACAATGATTGGTGATATCATTGTTTCCATGCATCCATGATAATTATCGTCGAACAGGCGGGTGCTTGTATACTTCTCTAGTTTACACTGCCATTACTTCGTAAGAGAAGTTTTTAAAAGAAATTTTGTCTGAATGGTTGAATGCCTTGCTGTGGGCCCGGGTGCCCGCTAAGCAGTGCTTGTTGCGAATGCCACCACGGACCCACCACCCGACCTTGCCCGCACCCGGTTCACCAGCGATAATAGTTTGTTTAAGAATTATTAAAGCTATGTGGTTCGTGATTGTTCTTTTGTTATGCCGTGCTTTGACGGTTGATATATGCTGTTTTCAGATGCATTGCTTCCAAGTTGGTGGGTCAACTAGTCGGAGTGAAGCTTTGCTCGCCTTCTTGCCAAGTATTGGGAAACTACCGTCAACGCCTGTTCCAAAAATGGCATCGAATGAGTGATGATTTTTGTGACCGATATGTGAAGCCCGCATAAACACGAGTGTTGAGCGAACAGTGGCTGACACTGGTAGGCAATTACAGCATGCCGATGTTAGTGGTGCTGCTGTAAAGCGCTACGAGGCAAAAAGTGTCCCTCGACTGTGATGAAACTTCCTCAAGAATATTTTTCAGTTATTGTCTATTGCTTTCAGTGAGGTACTGATCTTTGTTGGCTTTGTAGTTACTTCGAGTATGGTTTGTTACGGTCGTGTTAAATGACAAGAGGGTGCAGTGGTTTGCTCTGGTTCGTATGTTGATATCACTATTGAACGTATGAAGTCAGATTTGAAGTCTGTTGTTTTGTGCAAGAAGTATTTATTTTTTCCAGGCATGCTCATGTAATTATTTAACTCAATAAAAGGTGTGAATAAATGGCATCGCGTCTGGGGGAACTTGAACTTTGAGTAATGAGTATGCTTCTAACTTCTATGTCGTGACATAGAAAAAAAAAACATTCAGAAACATCCAACAGATCTATAAAACTGTGGGCTGTATGGTGTTTCCATCTTTCGATCTCCTAAGTCATATCAGACTGGACCATTGACCACAGCTCTGACTAATAAAAAATGTTAGAGTCGTCATTTCGGGAATTTAAACGTGCACGACGTAATCCAACGTTCCTATGGTCACATCGCTCAGCGCACGGGAGACAGTTTGATAACTGGATCACGCTTCCGTCATCGATGATGCCAGGCAAAGCGAGTAGGTAAGGTACGGGGACCCGCAGTTGCTACTGTAGACGAACCCCAACTCTAGCCGTCTGTCCTGTCCAGTAACAACCGATAACATTGATATCGACCGCCGGTCCCTGTACAAGAGCAGCTGAGGTTTTCTGTGCGTGCCCTCTGACAGCTTGTCGTTGTTCCCTGTGAGGGTGCTGGACAATATACTCAGGGTCGCTGTACAGAAGCAACTGCGGGTCCCCGTACTAGTGTTACCGTTTTAATGACGTGCTTACGACGGTATATTTTCGGTAACATTTCAGGCAAAGCTGGAGAACCCTCGTCACGAGTGGCAAAGGCAGCAAATCCCACACAAGCTCGCCCTGGACCTCGGAAACCTACTCGTGAGATGATATTAAATGTTTCTATTTTTAGTCAGCTTGGTGGCGCTATCTTGGTCGTAGAACATAAAGTGGGAGCCGCTTTGCACCGTTTAACCTCCCGCAACTCCCGCGACAACGGAAAAAATGTTAGTATATCCGCGTCAAGGGCCAGGAAATATGGAAAAATCCTTGGTATGGTGCATTTCAAAGTTTTCATCTTTCGTGCTATTTTGATCCATTGATCCGTGCTCTGATTCAACGCATTTGTTGGCATACTTCCCCTTTCCATATTCAGTCGTTCCTCTCTACTTGTGCTAACGTGTTCCGGCATCCGGCAGGAAAATGGATGCAGTTGAGCCGTGAAAAACGGGAGCGCTGCGTCGAGCTGATGAGACAGGGCTACTCGATGCAATCAGCCAGCGAAGTGATCGGCTGCACCGCTCCCACTACACGTCGCTGGTGGAATCGCTGGAAGAAGATCAACGGCTGGAAGCCGTCCGAGGTAGAAAATACTGGGTCAACCCATCCTGGTACTGAGGAGCACGACACTGGCTTAGAGCAGGAGGTACAGGATGCCTCGAGGAAAGATGGGACGAGTCCGCAAGCGATTGGGAACAACTGTGCGGAGAGTATCCGGATAGACCCGTTTGCGAACCGCCATCCCGGAGCCTTTGGACGCCGGAGGTCAACTGCGAAGGAAGATGATGCCAGGATAGTGGAGTACGTATTGCAGCACCCGCTCAGCACCGCTGCTGTCGTCAAGAAGGAACTCGGTCTCGACTGCAGTGTTGCTTTAGTCAGAAGGTGCGTTACGAAAGACACTGCATCAAGTATTTTACGAATTTCGTTACTGCTTAGAGATCTCACTATATAGTATGCTAACTCAAGGATATCTGAAGGTTCGTTGTCGCAGGGAACCCATTGCCACTGACCAAAATATGGGATTTGTGTACCTTATGTTATGGGTCTTAGCCGATCCTGCCGTTAACCCTCGATGGTACAGGGAGGGGGGTTGATGCACCCCCTCTAAGATTTTTTCGCGAATAACTCGCGTAAAAAAAAACGGCCGAAAACGACGAAACTTCTAGTTCCCTCGCATTGATCAATTTTAAACCTACCTTGAAAATACCATGACCCTGACTCAAATGACCTTTGACCTGTGACCTACTTTCCAAGACCATGTTTGGCCGGAATCGCGATTTGACGTATGTCTTCTGGCATTAGCCGCGCGTTTGCAAGATTTTCGTGGTTTCAAACGTTCAAACATACTCGTATGGTTTGATGTTGCTCCCATGCATTAGGGTGGATTTCAAGGTCACCTGAAGGTTAGGTCAGGTCTTTGACCTTTGGTGATCTCGGTTCACTTTTTCGAGTTTTACATGTTTCTTGGATAGTTTTGAAGCCGAATTTGAATTTAGCAACCATTTGAACATTTACGAAGCAGGGTCAAGTCGTATCAGATTACGCACCATGGATTTCTTGCTCTCATTCGTTTAATATTTGAAAGAAAGAAATAGCAAATATGGAATATTAACCCGCGCGGGGCTGGGGGGGTAAATTTTACCCCCCCCCCTCGCGAATTTTTGCGATATCTCAAAAACGGCGGCGCGCAGCGCCGCCAAACTTTCGGCACCTTTTCTTACATCAATTTGACACGTTCCCTGAAAATTTGAGCGAAATCCGTCGGAAAATTTTTGAGAAATTGACGTTTTAGTGACGTCATGTTCGCCATTTTCGCCTCAAAAACTGCAAAAGTTCAAACGCCGCTAACATCTTCATTTTTAAAGGAATCAAGACGTAACAAAAAAGGTTATACGTAATTTTACTTTGTCTATCAAATGGCTATCTCGGTTTTTTGAAAATTTTGGATTTTTGCCTAAATTTTTTTCAAAAAACTGACTTTTGGGAAAATCATTATAAAATCCAAAATTTTGAGTCTATCGAAATAACCGGAATATTTGTCAGATAAGTGGTCTATGTGCACCTACATACCAAATTTTAGAAGAATCGGTTCAAAAATGGGGGAGTTATTCAAATTTTTATGACGTCACGACACACAATTTTTTTTGAAAAAAAAATGACTTTTTTGGAAGTTCTAGACCTCGTACGGAAACAAAAATAGCACCATTCGATTCGCCGTGAAAAACTGCATCAGATAGACACCTTTTTAGGCCTTAACAACCAACTTCAAAATTTGACCTCACTTGACCTAACCTTGACCTGACCTCGACCTGAAATTCATCCAGAGGTGGTCCATATCACTTATTGAGTGTGCCTATTGAATTCTATGAGTAAAATGACCCATAAAACATGTGTCGCACATGCCCTTTTCTATATTTTGTTTTTTGGTGACCTGACCTGACCTGACCTGACTTTGACCTTGACCTCTGAATGATATTGTATGCAACGAATATTGTCATGGTAGCCTAAGAACACGTTTCGGGCGATCAGTCTCAGTCCATGACTCCATTCTTCGGCAACTACGGTGCAAGGCCGATACTGTAGAAACTTGCAATTTGTACCCTTGACCTTGTTATGTTCGTGATTCACGGTTCGAGTGAGAGAGAGCTTAAGAGAAACGCGATTTATATACTGCCGGTGCGAATGGGCCGAGAGAGTCCTCCAAAAACTAAACAAGTATGGCGAGCGCCACGCCTAGTCGCCCGCGCCAGTCATGCCGCTTGGCGCGCACGATCAGCTGAGCGCCGGCAGGGGCGCTCCCAGGCACACAGAGGTGGGGCCGCAGAGGCGGTCCAAGTACACACCCCCTATACCCGAACACAACATCCCCCCTCGAGACAACAGTCGTCAAAAACACACAAAAACACAACAATGCACGACGTTGTCTCACAGTCACTCCGCATACGAGGTCGCACCCCATTGAACTCGGAGCCGACCAGGAGCGCGGCGCTGCCGTCGAGAACGACGCGGGAGAGCGGCGGCGGCCGTCTCCACCTCGGGTGACCGCACCGGCGACGAGCGGCACACGGCCGGCGCACTAGCGGCGGGTCGGACCGCCCTCTCGGCGGCGACCGCGGTGCGCGCTGGCGGCGGCGGCGGCGGCGGCGGCTGAGGCGCACCCGCAGCGGGCGGGCACGGGGCGGACGGAGCCACAGGCGGGGTGGGTTCCGTCAGAAGCGGCCGGTATGGGCGCAGGTAGCGGCGGTTACGCCACAGGACCCTGCCACTGGCCGTCTTGACGAGGTACGTGCGCCGCTGACCGACGCCCACGATCACTCCGATCCGGTTCCATCGGCCGGTGGCGGGGTCTTGAAGGTCGACCCGGCTGCCGATCTTGAGCGGTGACAGCCGGCGCGTGCTCTTGTTGTAGCACCTGACGGCCTGCTCCTGGAGCTCGGCAGCCTTTTCCTCGCAGACATCGGCCGCCCGCTGCCACTCAGGAGCGAAGGCGCGGTGGTGCGTGGGAACACCAGAGCGAAGCGGGTGACCAAACAGCACCTGTGCCGGCGACCGTCCGTCTGCTCGGGGCGTGTTACGGAGTTCGAGCAGACTTCGGTCCAGTTGGTCCTGGTCGAGCCGGCCCGATGAGGACGCAGCCAGCACCAGCTTCTTCGCTGTCTTCACGCAGGCCTCCGCGTGCCCGTTAGCGCGCGGGTAGTGCGGTGACGACATCTCATGTCGTACGTCCCAGCGCTGGAGGAACCGGCGGAGCGTGCCTGATGCAAACTGGGGTCCGCCGTCTGACCGGAACACGGTCGGGACGCCCGTCTGCGAGAACATCAGTCGGAGCTGCCGCGTCAGATGGTCCGCCGAGGCCGTGCGGGGACACACTGTGACATACGGCCACCCGGACAGCCGGTCCACGTACACCAGGTACGTGTGTCCTCCAGCGGAGAAGTAGTCGGCCGAGACCGACTCGAAGACGCGTGTCGGTGCGCCGTCCTCCTGCCACATCGGCTCCCGGGCGTGGCTGGGCAGGCGCTGACGGCACTGAGCGCAGGCGGCGACAGTGTCAGCAATCTGCTTGTCGATGCCCGGCGTGGAGTCCAGTGTGGAGTCGACCAGCGGAGCCAGCTGGGCGCCCTCCTCCGATCGAGCGGAGGCCTGCAGCGCGGCAATGACGCTGGCGTGCAGCGGGTCGTCCTCGGTGTCCACCGCTCCGTCGTCATCAGCGGCGGGGTCGCTGGTGGGCGCTCGCAAGAGCGCGTCTGGGATCACGTGACTCGATCCCTTCTGCCAGCTGGTGGTGAAGCTGTAGGCCAACAACTTCTCTCTCATCCGCTGCAGACGCGGGTTGTCGATCGAGTTGAGCTGCTTGTAGTTTAGGATGGTCACCAGCGGTCGGTGGTCGACCACCAGGTCGAAGTGGGGCATGCCAGCCAGGTAGACATGGCACTTCTTGCAGGCCCAGAGTACAGCAGCCAGCTCCAGCTCGATTACAGCATATCGGCTCTCGGTATCGGTCAGGAACCGTGAACCATACTGGACCACACGCCAGTCCTCTCCGTGCCTCTGGAGCAGTGCAAAACCCAGTCCTCGGGTTTTAGCAGCGTCCGTCTGTAGCACGGTCGGCAGCTGGGGGTCGAAAAATGCCATCACCGGCGGTGACGACAGCACAATCTTGGTGTGCAGAAACGCTGCCTCGTGCTGCTCAGTCCAGCGCCAGACCCGGCGCGACTTGAGGAGGTCTCTGAAGGCCTGAGTCGAGTCAGCCAGCTCCGGTGTGAGGCCGCTCAGCTGATTCACCAGACCCATGAAGGACCGCAGGTCGGTGACGTTCTCCGGTCTCGGGAAATCAGCGATGGCGCGCGCCTTTTCATTGTCGGTGGTGTAGCCGGCCGGGGTGATCTTGTAGCCGCAGAATTTGACCTCATTCTGGGCGAACTTGAACTTCAGCAGGTTCAGCGTGATTCCTCGGTCGTCACAGCGCCGGAGGATTTCGATCACCTGCTGCAGGTGCTGCCGGTACGTCTGTGCCACGGCCAGGATGTCGTCGACAATCTTGACACAGTTTGGGATGTCGCCGAGCGCGGCATCGCCGCGCCGGTTGTACTCGTCTCCAGACGCACTGCATCCCATCGGACAGCGGACGAACTTGAACCTGCCCCACGGTGTGATGAAGCAGGTGAGGTCCTGACTTGACTCAGCGAGCGGCACCTGGAAGTAGCCCATCTTGGCGTCCAGAGTCGACATCCACCGGTGCCCGGCGGGCAGACTCGTCACGGCATCGTGAGGAGACCGGCAGGGGTACGTGGGTCGATTCACGTACCGGTTGAGTCCCGTCAGGTCCACGCAGAGTCGAAACCCGGACGGGTTCTTCGGCACGCACGAAATGGGATGGCACCATTCCGTCGGGTAGTCCACAGGGACGATGACGCCGCGGTCCAGCAGGTCGTCCAGCTGCGCCTTTACCTCGGCACGCCAGGCGAAGGGGATCGGTCGCGCAGCGGTGACCGACGTCGGACACGCGTCGGGCCGGAGTTCGATCGTCATCGGACCGCCGTCCATGACTCGAAGAGTCGAATCTTGCCCGAACACACG